GTCATGTACCACAATGTTCATTGCAGCTCTATTTACAATAGCCAGGACATGGAAGCAACCTAAGTGTCCATCGACAGATGAATGGATAAAGAAGATGTGACACATATATACAATGGAATATTACTCAGCCATAAAAAGAAATGAAATTGAGTTATTTGTAGTGAGGTGGATGGACCTAGAGTCTGTCATACAGAGTGAAATTAAGTCAGAAAGAGAAAAATAAATACCATATGCTAACACATATATATGGAATCTAAAAAAAAAAAAAAAAAAAATGGTTCTGAAGAACCTAAGGGCAGGACAGGAATAAAGACGCAGACATAGAGAATGGACTTGAGGACACGGGGAGGGGGAAGGGTAAGTTGGGACGAAGTGAGAGAGTGGCATGGACATATATACACTACCAAACGTAAAATAGATAGCTAGTGGAAAGCAGCCGCATAGCACAGGGAGATCAGCTCGGTGCTTTGTGACCACCTAGAGGGGTGGGATAGGGAGGGTGGGAGGGAGACGCAAGAGGGAGGAGATATGGGGATATATGTATATGTATAGCTGATTCACTTTGTTATAAAGCAGAAACTAACACACCATTGTGAAGCAATCATACTCCAAGAAAGATGTTAAAAAATAAAATAAGTGTGGGATAGGGAGGGTGGGAGGGAGGGAGACGCAAGAGGGAAGAGATATGGGAACATATATATATGTATAACTGATTCACTTTGTTATAAAACAGAAACTAACGTTATTGTAAAGCAATTATACTCCAATAAAGATGTTAAAAAATGAAAATAAAATAAAATTCAGATATACAGTGTAAAAAAAAAATTAAATAACTAGTGTTGGTGAGGATGTGGAGAAAAGGGAACCCTCCTACACTGTTGGTGGGAACACAAATTGGTGCAGCCACTATGGAAAACAGTATGGAGGTTTCTCAAAAAATAAAAATACCAAATGATCCAGAAATTGCACTCCTGGGTATAAATATGAAAAAAAATGAAAACACTACTTCAAAAAGATACATGCACCCCAGTGTTCAGAGTAGCATTACTTACAATAGCCAAGGTATGGAAGCAACCTAAATGTCCATCAACAGATGAATGGAGGGACTTCTCTGGCAGTCCAGTGGCTAAGACTCTGTACTTCCACTGCAGGGGGCAAGGGTTTGATCCCTGGTTGGGGAATTAAGATCCCACATGCTGGAGAGTACAGCAAAAGAAAAGAAAAAAAAGCCAGATGAATAGATAAAGATATATATATATATATATATATATACTATAGAATATTATTCAGCCATAAGAAAGAATGAAAATTTGCCATTTGCAACACATAATATTTCACTATTATGCCTAGTGAAATAAGACAGAGAAAGACAACTACTGTATGTTATCATTTATTTGTGGAATCTAAAAAATAAAACAAACAAATGAATATAACAAAACAGAAACAGACACAGATATAGAGAACAAGCTAGTGGTTACCAATAGGGAGGGAGAAGGGGGAGGGACAAGATAGAGGTAGGGATTAAGAGGTACAAACTACTATGTATAAAATAAAAAAGCTACAAGGATATATTGTGCAGTACAGGGAATATAGCCAATATTTTATAACTTTATATGGAGTATAATAACTTTAAATGGAGTGTAATCTATGAAAATACTGAATCACTATATTGTATACCCAAAACTAATATAGTGCTGTAAATTGACTACACTTCAATTTTTTAAAAACTGTCTTTTGCAGAGCATAAGTTTTTAATCCTAATAAAATCCAACTTAACAGTTTTTTCTTTCATGGACTGTGCTTTGTTAATATTTTCACCTCTTCCAATGAATCACAAATGTTCTCAATGGCATCTAGAATGGTGACTCCTTTTCAGAAGGTTTTCAATTTACCCAGATCCATTAGAGGAACCACTATCTATGGCAGCTACAGCTTTATAAAATGTAAGTAATAAGACTTGAAAGTTGAAATGACTCCTTGAATACATGGGCTACAGAATGGATGTTGTTTTAGCAGGCATGAAAACAACATGAATCTCATGTACATCTCCATCAGAGCTCTTGGGTGACCAGGTACATTGTCAGTGAGTAGTAATATTTTGAAAGAATTTTTTTTCTGAGCAGTAGGTTTCAGCAGTGGACTTAAAATATTCAATAAACCATGTATAGACATATGTGCTCTTATCCAGGCTTTGTTGTTCCATTTATAGAGCACAGGCAGAGTAGATTTAGCATAATTCTTAAAGGCCTGGGGTTTTCAGAACGGTAAATGAGCATTGGCTTCAAGTCATCAGCTGTATTAGCCCCTAACAAGAGTCAGCCTATCCTTTGAAGCTTTGAAGCCAGGCATTGACTTCTCTCTAGCTATGAAAGTCCTAGGTGGCATCTTCTTCCAATATAAGTCTCTTTTGTCTACATTGAAAATCTGTTGTTTAGTGTAGCCACCTTCATTTATCGCCTTAGCTAGATCTTCTGGATAACTTGCTGCAGCTTCTACATCAGCAATTACTGCTTCACCTTGTGCTTTTATGTTACAGAGATGCCTTTTTTTCCTTAAACCCCATGAACCAACTTCTGCTAGCTTCACACTTTTCTTCTGAACCTTCCTCATCTCTCTCAGCCTTCATAGAATTGAAGAGAGTTAGGGCCTTTCTCTGGCTTAGGCTTTGGCTTAAGGGAGTATTGTGGCTGCTTTGATCTTCTATCCAGACCACTCAAACTTTCTCCATGTCAGCAATAAGGCTGTTTCACTTTCTTATCATTCGTGTGATCACTGGAGTAGCACTTTTAATTTCCTTCAAGAACTAGTACGTGTTTCATAGGGTTGATGCAAAGATTAAATGATATAATATTTAATATGTAAGGTAAAACCCTGGCACATAACCAGCCTCAATAATATTAACTGGCATTATCATTATTTCTGCATGGCTTCTGGCATCTAAGGAGTCTCCCTCTTTCTTTGCTTCAACTTATCCGCAGCCTTGGCGTCCCATTCAGACTAGGCAACCCTGATTCCTGAGGGTTCATTTTAATCCAATTACTCAAGCTGAAAACCTTGGCTGGCAAATGGAAGGGAGAACACTAGGATTTGCCCTGGTACATGTGCCACATAGAGAGTTCCTTGAGTCTCATAGGTATTCAACATGTGCATACAGCAATTGCACACATGACTATATAAAATGGAGAACCATTCATTTGTGCCTCAAGTGTCATTATCACTACATTATCAGGAAGGCAGTTTTTCTTTGAAGGCAGTAGTTCTAAAAGGGTTATCGCTGTTTTACAAATACAAATACATCATAACATCTCCTTTATTATCCTGAAATAAAATTCATTGGTACAATAACCCATTCACACATGTAATTTAAAAAATGAAGGCCCCAAGTTGAATATAAAAGAAAAATGAAGGGAAAGTATTTTATAATAAAATAAGTATTTCAGTGTATCAATACTCAGGCATGACCACATTATGAGAAAATGAGACAATGAGATATTTGCACCTGTGCCTAGGATCTTGCGTGTAAGAGCTATAAATGCAGGCTGCTGCAGTTGTGTTTAACTAGTGACTTGAATGTTGGGAGAACTGTGATTGTCAGTGATTTTTTTTTCTGAAATGGTGAAACATTCTTTGTGAAACTCCAAACAAAACAAAACACAGCCTTCCCTTATTTTACCTAAAAGGCGTGTTTCTAGAAAATTCAGTGTGTATTGGAACTGGGGGAAAACTCTGTATTTATATGGAAAATTAAGGTTGGTTCTAGGCTCAGGTAATTATGAGCAGATATTTCACTAATATCTGGAGAGACATAAAAAGTTGTGAGGGGACTTCCCTGGTGGCGCAGTGGTTAAGAATCCGCCTGCCAATGCAGGGGACACGGGTTCGAGCCCTGGTCCAGGAAGATCCCACATGCTGCGGAGCAACTAAGCCCGGGCGCCACAACTACTGAAGCCCGCGTGCCTAGAGCCCGTGCTCCACAACAAGAGGAGCCACCACAATGAGAAGCCCACGCACTGCAACGAAGAGTAGCCCCCGCTCGCCACAACTAGAGAAAGCCCGCGTGCAGCAACAAAGACCCAACGCAGCCAAAAATAAATAAATAAATTTATAAACAAACAAAACCCAAAAGTTGTGAGGGACCCAGGATAATTCTTTGAAGTGGACAGCATCCTTGGCAACCATCCATTAGATCCCAGCAGGGCTTCTAATTATTATGAATCTAAAGATGAAGCCAAATGGCCCTGGAGAAGTTCCACCTGCTTTGAGAACCACAGCTTTAAAGAAAATGCTATCATTATGTATGTTTTTATTATGTCAGGACAGGGGCACTGAAAACTTCTCAGAAATTTTGTCTTCAATATAATAATTATTTTACACCATTTATCACCACTTTACAAATGAGGAAACAGGCTCATAGAAATTAAGCTACTTGTCCCAGGTCACATGGCCAAAAGGGCAGATTTAAACAGTTCCAGCTCTTGGCCTCACCCCACCCTGCTCACTACAACCTCCACTGGGAATGCATTGAAAACCTGTGGGTGTCTGGCTTGGGGGCCCCATAATGAAATTGCTAGAACTTCAGTCTCCTCTCTTACCTTCGTTCCCTGGAAATCTCCTAAATTCTGGTTCCAGGGACTCTGCTGAGCTGTGTTTACCTCTCGTCAGTGACCCTCCCTACCTCCTTTCCATGGCCACTGGCTGCTGCTGTTCAGGTTTTCTGCCAGAGTGCCCTGGCTGAAGTGGCAGAAGGATCATCCCATCCCTCACCCTCCATTACTAGGTCACGAAGCAGAGAAGACTTTGCTTCCTGTTGCCTGCAGGGTTTCAAGGAGGCAGCTGCTGTCCTATTTGATTTGGTCTTTACTCTAGGTCACTCTCCCTGGGAGTCTGATACGGGCTCCTGAGGCTGTCTTAGAGGCTCTGTGTCCACCCTCACCCAATAGTGTCCTTCCCTTCCATATCCCAACCATGCTAGTATGCTCTGCTTCTCTTTCCCCTCCCAGGGACTCCTTGTTCCAATCATCTGACTGTATGGGAACTTAAAAGGGGGATCATTATTCAGCGGCTCCTTAGGGGGAATCTCAGCTCTGGTGGCATTTTAACCTCATGCTTCTTCAACTGGAGTTGGCTGGCCACGGCAGTAATATCCCTCAAAATATGCAGCGGTGTGATGGAGAAGCAACAGGGTAAAATGGGAGTATCTTCTGGGACCCTCAATTTTTCCGAATGGTAAGTGATTTAAAATATCTTAATCTTACGATAAATGTGGAGAATAGAATACAAAATATTCTTGAATGTTTGGGATAAAGTTTGTGATGTAGAGAGATTTCTAGTTTCTAGATGTTCAGTATGCCTATGCTTTCCCCTACCCCTTCCCTCCTTCATCTCACCCTCAGACTATCAGAGATTCACTTTCCTCTCCTAGGGATAGAAACTGGGACAGTGTTGGCTTAAGACATCTGTAGTGTAATCAGATGTTTATGGCAACAGCCTGCTCTTTGCCCCAGCTCCTCCATTCTCACCCCCAAACATGTGCATTCTCAGAAGATGCCCTGCTTTGCCATTCACTTTAGGGTGCCTTGCTGTGCACCCCAGGGTAGGGTCTGACCTTTATATTTGTTTCATACTGGAACCAAATGCAGTGCATTTAGTAAGTGCTCAATAAGTATTAGTTAAATGTAAAGCAATTGTACTCCAATAAAGATGTTAAAGGCGAAAAAAAAAAGTATTAGTTAAATACATGTATGTATGAATGAATGAATGAATGGAATGCTCTATCTCACCATTAATTCAATGCAAATTAAAATAAGGGATGCCAATTACTACCATTTTATTTGGCAAATGATTTTGAGAGGATAAAATACAGTGTTAGTGTGGTAGAAGTAGGTCTGCCGTGTAAGGTACTCTGCAGGTACTCTACAGCACTCAGGAGTCCTGAGTGGGGAGGAAGAACACCATGCTTATATTCATAGTGAGATTGTACATAGTGAGACTGTACTGTATTGCTGAGGGGCAATTTGGCAACATGTGCCAATAATATTTTTGTGCTCTTGACTCAATGATTTATCTTAGGGAAACGAGATATATGTAAAAAGATTTGTTGATGGCTGCATTATTTATAATGAGAAAACTTGGAAACAATCAAGTATACAAAATATGGTACTGATTAAATTAATTGTGGCATATCCACACAATGGGTTATTATAGAATCATAAAATAGTATCTTCAAAGAATATTTAATGACATGGGGAAAAATCCCATAATGTGTGAAATAGACAGAGAGAGAGAGAGAAAGTGAGAGAGAGTTTCATCTTAGGAGATAAAAGAGGGATTTGAAGGTAGATAAAGAATGATTTTTATATTTTGCTCTGTATATTTCTTTTTTTTTCTTTTTTTTTTGTCCGCACCATGCGCAATTTCAGTTCCCTAGCCAGGGATTGAACCCGGGCCAGGGCAGGGCTAGGAACTAAATGTCTTTTTCACTTTCTTTAGTGACTTCTAAAAATGAATGTTTTTTTTGTTTTTTCGTTTATTTCGGTACGTGGGCCTCTCACTGTTGTGGCCTCTCCCGTTGCGGAGCACAGGCTCCGGACGTGCAGGCTCAGCGGCCATGGCTTATGGGCCCAGCCGCTCCGCGGCATGTGGGATCCTCCTGGACCGGGGCACAAACCCGTGTCCCCTGCATCGGCAGGCGGACTCTCAACCACTTGCGCCACCAGGGAAGCCCTAAAAATGAATGTTTTTATAAAGTACATTTAAAGTGCATATGAAGTACATTTTGGTGTGTATGTGTTTATTTTGGTGCCTATTCACTTATTATAATTCTCATGAGTCCACAGTATTTTCTCAGCCATTTCAACAAATAAAGGTTTTTAGTGGACATGAAGCTGATGGCACTAAGTATCAGCCATCTAATATTTAGTACTCAAGCTACATATTCTGTAAAAATGTGAAACGCTTTTTTTAAAAAACATTTATTTATTTATTTTATTTATTGGCCACACCACGCAGCATGTGGGAATCCTAGTTCCCTGACCAAGGATCCAACCCATGTCCCCTGCAGTGGAAGCATGGAGTCTTAACCACTGGGCCGCCAGGGAAGTCTGTGATATACTTTTAATGGTGTTGAATTATATCAGTTAGGAGACTTTCAGCTGTAGATAACAGAATACTTAACTAAAGTTTGGTTAAAACAGTGATTCTAAGTATGCTACTAGCATTTGGCAGGACTGTTTCCCCCATGGGAGGATATTTAGCATCCTTTCCCTCCAAGCACCAAATGCTACTAGTCATCGATTAAATCAAAATTGTCCTACACGTTTCCAAATGCTCCTAGCTGTGCTGCACAACCCCTGCCTGAGGACTACTAGCTTAAATAGTGAGGACATTATTTACTGTCTTATGACAAGAAGCTTGAGAAATGGTAGTTCCAAGGTTGATGCAGTTGCTCAAAGATGTCATGAAGAACCCAGGATCCTTCCATCTTTTTGAACTCTGCTATCTACACTATGTTGGTTTTTCACCTTCAGGTTAGCTTCTCATGGTAACAAGATGACTGCCTCAGCTCCAAGACGAATGTCCTCAAACAACTGTGTCCATAGGCAGAAAAAGGGCGATTTCTCTTCATGGGTCTCTTTTTATGAGTAAAATAAATTTTCTTTAGAGATCCCTCAACAAACTTCCCAAAAAGTCCCATAACAAGGATTGGGTATTTGCCCATGCTCTCCCTACCTGCAGAGCTGGAGACAGGGAGAGTGTTATCTGGCATTTGCTCCTTCCCTATAGGGAGGCAGGCTCTGTGGTCAAAGTGAATGGCTATTGGTATTCTAATGTCTTCAGACCTCCTGATTGAAGAGAAAGACAGAACTGTCTTCCCAGTCAAGTAAGTCTTTGTGGTCTGGAAAAGACTAAAGTTCAAAAACTTACTGCTTTTTGTTCCCTTACTTCATCATATTCCCTTTTTTTTTTTTTTTTGCGGTACGCGGGCCTCTCACCGCTGTGGCCTCTCCCGCTGCAGAGCACAGGCTCGGGACGCACAGACCCACGGGCCCAGCCGCTCCGCAGCATGTGGGATCCTCCCGGACCGGGTCACGAACCCGTGTCCCCTGCATCGGCAGGCGGACTCTCAACCACTGCGCCACCAGGGAAGCCCATATTCCCATTTTTTTAATAGTCAATTAGATTCAACAAGAACTCTGGAAGGAACCAGCATGGGGACTAAATGAATGAGGCTTCAGGAGGCCACATTTTAGGCAAGAAGTTTTAATGTCTGCAGCTCGTGTTTAACATATTTACTCTAGCTTTATTTTTCTCCGAGGGGTTTGAGCTGGCATCGTTGTAGTAGTATAATAGTGGCTCTGGATTATGCCCTCTGGAATATTCCAACTCTGACAAACGGCGGCAATGTGGTTAAGTTTCTTCATCTACAGGCACTGAAAAAAAACAAATACCTCTGCCCTCCTGGAGCTTACATTTTAGCAGAGAGATATACGTAATATTAAGATAGACTTAATAAAGTATGTAGCACATTAGAAGATGATTACTATAGAAAAATAGAGTACGGAGATCTGGTATATTTGCGGGGGGGGCAGGCTGCAGTATTGCAGAATGGTCAGAGTTAGCCTTACTGAGAAGGTGACATGTGAACAAAGATTTGAAGGAAGAGAAGGAGTGAACCATGTGGACATATGGGTGAAGGGTATTCCAAGAAGAGGAAAGCTAGGTCCTAAGGCAAAAGTACTAAGGCAGAAGAGTGACTGGTACTGGTATCAACAACAAGGATATTAATGTAACTGTGGCTGGGTGAAGTGATTGAAAGGGAGAAAAGTAGGAGATAAAGTCAGAGAAATGAGGGGAGCACAGATGATGTCAAGCCTTTTGGCCATTGTTAGGACTCTAGCTTTTATTTTGAGTATGATGGGGAGACATTGGAGGATTTTAAGCAGAGGAGAGACATGATCTGACAGGTTTTAAAAGGATCCCTCTGAATATTTTCCGTGTGTTGAGAATAGACTGGAGGAGAGGCAAGGGTAAAAGCAAGGAAGTCAGTAAGGTACCTATTGTAGTCATCTGGGCACAAGATGGCTGGGACCAGGGTGCTAGCAATGGAAGAGGTGAAAAGTGGTCAAACTCCAGACATATTTTGAAGGTAAAATTAGCAGGATGTCCTGATAGACTGTATGTATGACTCCCAGGGTTTTGTCCTGAGCAATTGGAAGGATGAAGTTGCCGTCAACTGAGAGGTGACTGTAGGTAGAGCCAGGTTGGGAAGGAATATCAAAAGTTTCATTTTGAACATGTTAGGTTTGAGACGCTTGTAAGACATCCAAGAAGAGACGTCAATTAGCTGGTTGGCTATATGATTCAATAGTCTTATAAATAAGACTTAACTAAGGATACAAATTGCATGTTGAAGCCTTTAATTCAGTGCCCGGAAAATGGTAAATGCTCAATAATGTTAACTACAACGATGATGATATTTTCATCACTCACCCCTGAAGGCATTCTGACTCCCAGTTTAACCATTCCATCCCTTTAATTCAGCAAAAATAAAATTGGGTTTTATACTACTCCACCTTGATTTTTATTTATAGCACAAACAAAAAAGTACAACATTAGAGCAAACTTTAAAAAGAAATTAAAGCCTCAAAATCTCACTCTCTAACCATATTGTTTTTAGTTTTCCTTTTGTCTCATTTTGAAAACATAATTTAAAATAGTTGAATCATGGTGTATGCATACGTATGTATCCTGGTTACTTCAAGTAACATTATCCTATAAGCTATTTTGCAAGTTGCTGCATAGTTTCCATATTTACGATCTTTAGCGGTTACAAAACAATCCGTATTTACTTGTCCCCTTTACTACTGTTGCTCATTTAGACTGTTAACCTATCACTCTTATAAGGAGGGTATATTGCCAGTAGCAGAAGTACTGGGTCAAAAGCTATGAACATTTTTATAACTCTCAATATATAATACCAAATTGTGAAAGACTTGTACCAATTTACAAGGCCAAAGGTTGGATTTTTGCATAAGAAAAAAGAAAGAGTAAATTCAAACACATGAAACTAGAGTATTTACAAAATAGATTTCCTAATTTCCTTTTAACGAAACTCTATCCACAGATGTTTTCAGCTGGGTTGCACAGGCTAGGCTCATTTTTCTAGCTGACTTGATCTCTGTTACACTTAAATTTCAGCCTCGATTAGAACTTGCTTGCTGCTAGATACGGTGACTACACTGATATAATCTTTTTGTTACTTATACTAGAATTGATTTAAAAAATCATTTTATAATTAAAGACTCTTTGTATCATACTCTCTTATTCAGATGTTCTAGTTTTAGGTCTAATTCCAGCTGTTTTAATGCACTGGGGGATAAACAGTGATTTAATCTGGCTCCACCCCACTGCTCGGGCCTAGGATAGCTATTCAAAGATATTTAAGAGGTAGAAGTAACTGGCTTTGTTGATTAACTGAACATCTAATTCCCCTTCCTCTTTTTTTTTTTTTTTTTTAATTTATTTATCTGGCTGCACCGTGTCTCAGTTGCGGCACGTGGGATCTAGTTCCCCCACCAGGGATCGAACCTGGGCTCCCTGCGTTGGGAGCATGGAGCCTTAGCTCCTGGACCGCCAGGGAAGTCCCTAATCCCCCTCGATGGGTACTGAAGTAAAAACCAGACAAGCTGGTTCAGACTTGGGTTAACTATGCCTCCAGGTAACACTATAAGAGCAGGAACAGTAAAAGCCAGTATACTGGTTTATTCTGGGCACAATAATGATACTTAACAAACTACCCCAAAACTCAGTGGTTAAATCCCCAATTATTGTCCTCCTCTTCCCTTCTCTTCTCTTCCCTCCTCTTCCTTCTTTGATCATTTCGGTGCTGAAGCTATTAGGTAGGGCTGAGCAAGGTGGCACCTATGCCTGGCTGAGTTGGGGGAAGAAGCCATGGCTGCCAGAACAGGGACTGACCAAGGCGAGTGGTGGAGCCTGAGTAAGGTGAAGAAAGTGTCTGCTTGGGGTGTGGTCTACTTGGGGAGTCAAAGCCTGAGCAGGGTAAGAGAGCTTCTGCAGGGGGGAGGGGGTGGTGGCAGAGATGGGGGATGGGTTACATACAGAGGGTTCATAAAATAATGATATTGAGAAAAATGGGAGAATGGTTTCTTTTGAAAAAGGAAGGTGCAGCTATAGAAAGGGAAAAAAAAAAAACCAACTAGAATAAATCCTGTGCTATTGGATTGGGGTTGGATGTATCAATGTGAATTCATGGTTCATATATATATGTAATATATATTTATATATATGTGTGTGTATATATATACGTATATATGTGTGTATATATATATGTATATGTATTTTCTGGAATTAGATTAGACAGTAGTAATGGTTGCACAGTATAAAAATACATTACTTTTTTTTAAATGGAAAGAAGGAGAAGATTTATTTTTAATCATATTTTATATTATAGTTGATTTACGATGTTGTGTTAGTTTTAGGTTTACAGCAAAGTGATTCATTTATTTTTTTATATTTAATTTTTTAAAATAAATTTATTTATTTATTTATTTTTGGCTGCATTGAGTCTTCGTTGCTGCGCACGAGCTTTCTCTAGTTGTGGCGAGTGGGGGCTACTCTTTGTTGTGGTACGTGGGCTTCTCATTGCATTGGCTTCTCTTGTTGCAGGGCATGGGCTCTAGGCGTGCGGGCTTTGGTATTTGTGGTGAGCGGGCTCAGTAGTTGTGGCTCGTGGCCTCTAGAGCACAGGCTCTGTAGTTGTGGCACACGGGCTTAGTTGCTCCACGGCATGTGGGATCTTCCTGGACCAGGGCTTGAACCCATGTCCCCTGCATTGGCAGGCGGATTCTTAACCACTGTGCCACCAGGGAAGTCCCTCATTTACATATATACATATATCCTTTCTTTTTCAGATTCTTTTCCCATATGGATCATTACAGAATATTGAGTAGAATTCCCTGTGCTATACAGTAAGTCCTTGTTGACTATCTATTTTATATATAGTAATGTGTATTTGTTAATCCCAAACTCCTAATTTATCCCTCCCTTTCATGTTTCCACTTTGGTAACCATAAGTTTGTTTTCAAAGTCTGTGAGTCTGTTTCTGTTTTATAAATAAGTTCATTTGTATCATTTTTTAAAATTCCACATATAAGTGGTATTATATGATATTTATCTTTTTCTGTCTGACTTCATTTAGTATGATAATCTCTAGGTCCATCCATGTTGCTGCAAATGGCATAATTTCATTGTTTTTTATGGCTAAGTAATATTCCATTGTATATATGTACCACATCTTTATCCATTCCTCTCTGATGGACATCTAGGTTGCTTCCACGTCTTGGCTATTGTAAATAGTGCTGCAATGAACACTGGGGTGTGTGTATCTTTTCTTTTGTTTTTTTTAACTTTTTATTTTATATTGGAGTATAGGTGATTAACAATGTTGTGTTAGTCTCAGGTGTACAGCAAAGTGATTCAGTTATACATATATCAGTACAATACATGTATCTATTCTTTTTCAAATTCTTTTCCCATTTAGGTTGTTACATAATATTGAGAAGATTTCCCTGGGCTATACAATAGGTCCTTGTTGGTTATCCATTTTAAATATAGCAGTGTGTACATGTCAATCCCAAACTCCCTAACTATTCCTCCCCCCCGACCCTTCCCCACTGGTAACCATATGTTCGTTCTCTAAATCTGTGAGTCTGTTTCTGTTTTGTAAATAAGTTCATTTGTATCTTTTTTCTTTTTTGGTTCCACATATAAGTGATATCATACCATATTTGTCTTTCTGTCTGACTTACTTCACTCTGTATGACAATCTCTGGGTCCATCTATGTTGCTGCAAATTGCATTATTTCATTCTTTTTAATGGCTGAGTAATATTCCATTGTATATATGTACCACATCTTCTTTATTCATTCAAATTATGGATTATTATTATTATTCTTTCTTTTTGAATTATGGTTTTTTCCAGATGCATGCCCAGGAGTGGGATTGCTGGATCATACGGCAGTTCTATTTTTAGATTTGTAAGGAACCTCCATACTGTTCTCCATAGTGGTTGTACCAATTTACATTCCCACCAACAGTGTAGGAGGGTTCACTTTTCTCCACACCTTCTCAAGCATTTATTGTTTGTAGACTATTTGATGGTGGCCATTCTGACCCATGTGAGGTGATACCTCATTGTAGTTTTGATTTGCATTTCTCTAATAATTAGTGATGTTGAGCATCTTTTCATGTGCTTTTTGGCCATCTGTATGTCTTCTTTGGAGAAATATCTATTTAGATACTCTGCCCATTTTTTGATTGGGTTTTTGTTTTGCTATAGAGCTGCATGAATTGTTTGTATATTTTGGAGATTAATCTCTTGTCAGTTGCTTCATTTGCAAATATTTTCTCCCATTCTGTGGGTTGTCTTTTCATTTTGTTTATGGTTTCCTTGCTGTGCAAAAGCTTTTAAGTTTAACTAGGTCCCATTTGTTTATTTTTGTTTTTATTACTCTAGGAAGTGGATCCAAAAAAGGTATTGCTGCGATTTATGTCAGCGTGTTCTGCTTATGAAGAATATATTAAAAGCCTTTGAACTGTACCCTTTAAAATGGTGAATTTTAAGTTATATGTACTATATCTCAATAAAAATTATATATGTGTATTATAGACAGATAGATGAGAGAGAAATAAATATAGATGTAAATATGTGTATACACATACATACATGTATTGCCCAGCTCTGTCCACTGAGAGAACCTAGTAGCAACAAGCATGTCTAGTGACCACATCCTGATTTTTAAATAACATTGTCTGCTAAAAAGAATTAGGACTCCTTTAAAAAATGGCTATTTCTAGGTCTGGCACAGGGAAATTACAAGATGATCTTGGGATAACTTATTGTGTCAGAGTAACGAAGTAGCCAAGGAATGTTAGGGACATGTCAAAGGATGCAAAGGCCAGCTTGAAGGGACTCCCATTGGCCAAGTCTGGAAAAATTTGATCATCAAAATAAACAATGAAAGTAACAGATTACAATCTATTGAATAAAATACAAAACTGTAAGTCTATATTGATATAAATCATTGAGTAAGCCATAAGTTTGATGAGGAATGGGACATTTGCATAGTATTCACAAAATATTTACTAGTTATTTAGAGAAAAATAATAAGTTTATAGTGGAGAAGACTGGCAGACATCACTTAAATCAAGTGATCAAGTTAACATCATTGGTAATGGGACATATTGAAATCAGGTGTCACTGGACAGGATGAAGTAAGAAGAAAACAGCATCACTTCTGTAATGTTCCTGCCAGAGGGGAGGAGGGCATCCACATGGGTATGTGCCCTGATGGGGAGTATGGAAGCCCAAGTGTGGTGACAAAGGCATCTCTGTAGAGGAAGGCCTGGTGCAAGATGTCAGGACGAGGAGAGCATCAACTTTTGGGGTTGACCTGGTGTGCGGCATCAGAGCCCAAGGAAGGTGCAGAGGGGCAGCCTGAAGTGGGATGTTGGAGCCCAAGTGGGCTGAGGAAGGTGTCCATGCAGGGTGGGTGGCCCACTGTGAGAGGCAGGACCTGAATGGGGAGGAAGGCTTGTGTGTTCAGAAGTGACCTGGCCCAAGGTGTCAAAACCCAAACAAAGTGTCTACCTGGAGAGGAGTCCTGGTGTGGGGTGTTGGAGCCAATTAAGAGGAGCAAAAGCCATGCCTATGCATTTCATATTCAAACTGCAGAAAAACAAAGAGAAAATCTTGAAAGAAGCCAGAGTTGGGGAAAAAAATCACCTTAACTATAGAATTATAGTGGAGTTTTCAACAGAACCCATGTAAGAAAGAATTGAGTGGAGTGAAATATTTAAAGTGTGAAAAAATAAAAAATGAAAAACAAATCTATGAACCTAATGAATATAGTGAATGATATAGTGATAATATCCAGTGAAATTATCCTTCATAAGTGATGGAGAAATAAAGATTTTCTCAAACAAATAAAAACTGAGGGAATTTGTTGCAAGAAGGCTTACCCTACAAGAAATGTTGAGAGAAAATTCTCAGCAAAAGGAAAACTATATAGGTCAGAAATTTAGATCTACCTAAAGAAAGGAAGAGCATTGGAAATTTAATTTACCATAAAATAAAATAAAATATTTTATTTTTCTTTTTTAATTGATTTAATATTGAATAGATAACACTAGGTTTAAAGCAATAATAGTAACAATGTATCAAGTGGTTATAACATATAGCCAAGTGAAATGCATAACAGAAACGTCACAAAGAACAGGAGGGAGGAATTAAGAAAACTCTTTTATAGGGTATCTGCACTATACATGAAACAGAACAGTGTGATATGAAAGTGAACTTACATTAGTTAAAAATGTGTATTGTAAACACTAGAGCAAAGACTAATTTTTTTTGAAGAGTATAATTGAACAGCAACATTCACAAGCACTGAGCACATCTAGTGCCCAAATATTGGCTTCTAAATACCATTCTCCAGTAAAAGGAACCAGAATTCCTTGAAGAAATGGCTGGTTGCAGTGCTGGTACAAAGGAAGTAAAAGATGCATCTGGACTATATTATGTTAAGGAATGTTATATTATGCAAGGAATTGTTTGAAGAATAATAGAGACATTTCAAAAAGACACAGAAGCCAGGGTGAATGAGCTCCTAATGGCCAAACTGGAAAAATTAAACATCTAAATAAAATAATAGTAAAAAGAGATAATAAACCATTGAATAGGGCTTCCCTGGTGGCACAGTGGTTAAGAATCCACCTGCAGGGGACACGGGTTCAAGCCCTGGTCTGAGAAGATCCCACATGCTGCAGAGCAATTAAGCCCGTGAGCCACAACTACCGAGGCTGTGCTCTAGAGCCTGCGAGCCACAACTCCTGAAGCCCAGATGCCTAGAGCCTGTGCTCTGCAATAAGAGAAGCCACTGCAATGAGAAGCTCGCACATAGCAATGGAGAGTAGCTCCCGCTCTCCGCAACTAGAGAAAGCCCACGTGCAGCAACAAAGACTCAACGTAGCCAAAAATAAAAAAACAACAACAAAAAAAACCCCAAAACCAAACCACTGAATAAAATGGAAAACATGAGTTCATATTGTTATAAATGAATGAATTGAGAATTTGGCAAGGAATGGGAAATGTATATAGTTTCAAGAGACTCCTACAACATGTTAATTACAAAGGGAAAAAGAGTAGCTTCACAGTGAAGTCTAGTAAACACCACCTTTGTCAAGTGATCGAAGTGAATATCAACAGTAATGGGAAAATTGAAATTGTGTGTCACCTAATACATTGCAACAAGAAGAACAGAGTGTTATTTCAGTCATATTCCTGCCAAACATGCATAATCTGAACCGATTTATGAGGAAACATCAGAAGAACACAATTTGAAGGAGATTCTACAAAATAGCTGTCTTGTAATTTTCAAAAGTGTCACAATTATGAAAATCCAAGAAAAATTAAGAAACTGTTTCAGGCTAAAGGAGACTAATGAGACATAACAACTAACTAACTATTGTATGAAATTTTGAGGGGAAAAAAAAAGTCAATCTGTATCTCTGAAGAAAAAGGACCTAAATTGAAATGACTGAACTTTAAAGAGCTGCTAGTCATAAACAACACTTCTGGCACTCTGAGGCATCTAGACTGATGGTTTTAAAAGATTTTTAATGATAATTTTATATATTAGCTCTCACTGTAGAATGATAATATTGCAATATTGCTTCTGTCTATAGAGTCTGTTTTAATAGTCAGTTAGCCTTATCATAGCAAAGTTCAGCTACCGATTTGTTTTGGCTTTGTTTACTTTCTCTAAGCTTTCTTTCGTAAGAGTTTGGGGATTTTTAAGTACTTGATTCAACAGGACTTTCTTGTATTGTGGTAATATAACCAGAGGTGTAAAGAAATCAGTAAATATTTAACAAAGAAAAGAAAATGAATGAGTACACTA